CGACATTTTCAAACATTTTAAGATTAGAAAATACATATCAATATACATTACAAACAAAGCAACGATCAGGAGACAAACTGTAAAATAATCTATTCAAAATGATTATATTTAAAGTTCTCACTTACACATTGAAATTATAATTATGTTTTTTGTCTATTTACAGTAAATATGAACACGCCAACCGCTGCTTACCTGAGAGATAGAGAACTTTTTGGAAGTTTATCATTGTATATGAAAATGAAAGCAATACTAAACACTATGGTCAATTGTGAATACCTTTACGACCATCCGCTGATTGACGATATATTTGTTTATCTTAGAGACTTCGTCTGCTCCAATATTTGTACATTAAGAATGTTATATGAACGGTACAAGATTTTACGTGACATTTGTGAAGAGGACCAAAGCATTGTTTGGGTGGCACACTCATATGCCCTAGAAGTTAATGATTGTTACTTGTTGAATTTAACAGAAACTGTTAAAAAAGAATCACTTTAATGTTGTGCCTTAAATGAAATGAACTGATACATATGTCAGACGGTTAAATACATATTCGCAGCTAGACGAGTGAAATTGGTCGCAGAATGCAAAAAGTGTCCGAAATATGACGACATTACCCTAGTGGAACCCCATTGTATCGTGTTATTCATGGTATCGATCTATTTAAAAATCTTTCGATTTTTTTTTTCCGCAAAACGCACTAGCAACTGATTGTTTACATTTACAACAGTCACGAAAATCTTTCGCATTTGTTTTGCCGTAAAAATGATCAAAAACACGTTTCCAGTTACGTCAGACTTAGTATATAATAAATAGACTGATAAATAGTGTGTTCTTATTAAGAGTACATTAACTGTCTGTTGAAAGTTCCTAAATTTATGTTGACATTTTAAAACAGACATCTTTGATTCTAATTGACTGAAAAATCTAGCATAAAGAAAGGTTAGGCTTCCCAATCTTTGACTAACTGAGCGATTCTCACAATGCATTGATATAATGGCGTGACCTAATTCTTCAACCTGTTTGACATGTCTGTAAATAGCCGTATATTCCAAAGCTAAAAATTATATTTCAGTGATGTTTGCCATGGAAATATTATGCCAAAATAATCAAAATGAATGATACAAAATAAAGATTCAGGGAGATTTAATTTTTAGCTCAACTATACGAAGTATATGGAGAGCTGTCCTACTCGCCCCGGCGTCCGCGTCCAGATTTTAGATTAAAGTTTTGGTGCAGTAAAATATTTTTCACTATAACTTTGTCATTTCTTAAGGTTTCAACTTCAAACTTCAAATATATGTTCCTTATCATCAACCACATCATATGTGACAAGGTTCATAACTCTAGCACCAATATTTTCAGATTTATCTCCCCTTGAACTTAGAATTTTCCTTAAAAAATACTATTTTTTACTGTTACTTCCATATTTCTTAAGGCAACAACCTCATACTTCAAATATATGTACCTTATCATCATCCCCATCTTATGTGACAAGGTTCATAACTCTAGCACCAATAGTTTCAGATTTAACTCCCCTTGAACTTAGAATTTTCCTCAAAAAGTACTATTTCTTACTGTTTCTTCTTTATTTCTTAAGGGATCAACCTCATACTTTAAATTTATTTACGTTATCATCTTCCCCATCTTATGTGATAAGGTTCATAACTCTAGCACCAATATTTTCAGATTTATCTCCCTTTGAACTTAGAATTTTCCATAAAAATATTTTTTTTACTGTTATTTATTTCTAAAGGGATCAACTTCATACTTCAAATATGTTCACGTTATCATCATCCACATCTTATGTGACAAGGTTCATAACTCTAGCACCAATATTGCAAGAATTATCTCCCCATAAACTTAGATTTTTTTACTAGAAAAATGTTATTTTTTATTATAACTTTTTTATTTTTAAAGGTATCTACCTCAAATACTTATTCCTTATCAACAATTACATTTTATGTGACATTGTTCATAACTCTTGATGCAATATTTACAGATTTATCTCTCTTTGAACTTAGGATTTTCTTTAAGAAACATAATAACTTCTTTTCTTTTTAAGGTATCTACTTCAAACTTCAAATATATAATTCTTATCATTACACAAATGTTGTGTGACAAGGTCCATAACTCTAGCATGACTATTTCTAGAATTATTCCCCTTGATCTTGGAATTTATGTTAACAAATATTATTTTTTTACTATAACTTAATACATAATTATACATAATTGCAGAGATCTGCCAAGAATTTGAAAGTACTGGGCCCTGGGCCCACTTGGTCTGAAAATGATGGGCCATTTTTACCAAAGTATGGGCCTTGAGAAAATAAGTGAACATTGACCAAAATAACTGTTAAAAAGTTTGTAGATACATGTAATTGAATTTCCCCGGTAATAAAACTTAAATCATATTTTATGACAAGTGGTTCACTTATAATTCAGTACTTTACCAATAATTAAAAATTATGCCTACTGGGATCCTACATATTACCGGACAAAATATGAAGTTTTTTATCTGTAACTTTTATTTAAAATAATAAAAAAGATTGAAATTTTACCCAAATAATTTTGGGTTCTTAATGCACGTAAACATTCCTTTATCAACCATGAAATTAAACATTTGACCGTAGAAGTGTGTCTTTAAAGTCGGGCATTATAAGAGGAAAAAAACGTGTAAACAACTCAATTTACCGGACATTGTGTTTCAAACTTTTCGAAGCCGTGAATTGAAATTAATCTTTAAAAAACCAGCAAGGAAACTACCACTATTGAATGGCAAGGTTAAGATATTTGAAAACCCCAGTATGTCACTAGAAAAAGACACGGCAGCCATGCCTGTTATGAAAAGGCTAATATATAGGATGTAATTGAAATTAACACTTTTAACTCAATTAACGTATTGATCCTTCATGATCCTTAAACATATGAAACATTTTGATATTCAAATGGAATTCTGTTCTTCTGTTCTATGTCATACAGTTTCCTTTGGTCATCATGTAGCATGTTACAAAAGCCATAAAATCAATTTTATTTAAATTTCATGTAGTGTTCCTCCAATGGGCGTAACTTGTTTCTTTATATGTTTTTTAATTCGCACTTCTTTGTAAAAGACAACAACAAGATAATGTTTAGACTAAATTTAAAATTACTTTCATCATTAAAATATGTTACGTTTGTCTCTTGAGGTAACGTTGAAAAGAATTAAAAGTAAAACCTTTCTAAAAAAAAACATTAAGGGTCTACATATTCGGGCCTGCGCATTACAGATTATTCCCCCGCATGACCAGGTCATGAAATAACAAGTAAACAAAAGGGCATGTTAGTAGATAAAGAACTGAATCAACAATATTTATCTGAGAGAGGTTTTGTTGTTATTTACTTTGAAATAGAAAGTGTGTGTACAAATCAGAATGTATGATTTTTTTAATCGAAGCAAAAAATAAAGCACTATTCATCAGTAATAGCTTTTGTCCGGTAAACTGATTGTCCGGTAAATATATAGGACCCCAGTACATGGTAACTTTCTAACTAATATTAATTGCAGGCAAAAATGAAAATATTTTTTTAATGGCTGCTCAAAAATTTGATATGCAAATTTATTCACATAATTGCTGGTTCTTACTGTCTTGTAATGTCTTATATTGTGCATTATCCATTTAATTGTTCCTACTTTGCACCAAATGTCCCTTACCACTGTATATTGACAAATTTTATTGCCCCTTGTATGCCTCTGTGTAGACAGCATACATCAAAGACATTTGCCGACAGACCTTTTGATCATGAAAAAAGTCACGCGCAATGTTTCTCTGATTGGTTAATCACCCTGTCAAACATTCTGATGATGAAATATACATCTTTTTTTACACTTCATCAGCCAAAACTTGCGTGAACTTGAGTGACCTTAGGGTTGATCAAGTTGAACACCTGTCAGATTATACTGTAACTTACAGCATTTCTTAAAATAGCAACACTTTTTTTTTCAGTTACCGATAATCATTTTAGATATTAAGTAGTTGTATAATTTGTTTGTTTGTTTTATTGGATTAAATTTACGGTAGTAGAAATGAGTATCTGTGTGGGAAAGGGATTATGAGAAGAAATGCGGTAAGTAGATAACATGGACAAAAGCTATAGGGGAATGGATAAACTAAAGAATATGCGTAATTACAGGAGCATGGGTAACATGTTGCTGTTGGTACCAGTTTTGACTGGATGACTAAATAACCCAGCAGACAGTTTTGTTTTCTTATAAGTCTGGCACAGATTTTAGATGCGCCCATGGCCCTTTGCTGCCGATTTTCCTGCGCCATTCTCATTTTTTTAGCGCCAATGGCGCAAAATCGCGTCCTCGGCAGATCTCTGTAATTGATTTTTCTTTCATAGTTTTGTCCTCCTTACTGCGTCCAGTATTTTAGTAGTCGAGCTTCGCTGTCTCCTGTGACAGCTCTTGTTTTAACTGCAGTTGTGAATTATGGATAAATAGATCGATACAACAGGGTTCCAGGCTACATGTTATTACTTTGCAAGGTTTGTGGAACATATTCAGGGCTTTTGTTCCTTCTATAACAGAAGCCGAAATAAGGCCCAGGCATTTTTTGTCAAAATCGTGAATGAGCCTGTTCATTTTGTGAAAAAAAGCGTGATGTGTCATAAAATTGTGAAAAAAAAAAAGACATGTTATTTGGCATTTCGCGACATTTTGAAAATAGAAACGATTTATTATAATGTTAAATCTGCTTAGGTCTGTACATTAACCCGGTTAACATGTGCAAAAACATTTATATTGATTAAATTTAAAACTATTTTGTGTTATTGCAATTGGCGTGAAACGCTCCTGTTGAAGTTTCTAATTTCTGTAGAACAGCACGGATGAACACTAACATATACTTAGTGAACAGGTTACGAGGTATATATTGTGAGCTATATGTCAATTTTGGATTTCATTGTATTTCAGAAAATGAATAAGTTATGTTGACAGAAAAAGTTTATGTTTCCAGAATTTGGTGTTCATTTGGCTGAACTAACAGTGGATCCTAATGGACCCCTTGCAATTAGACAGTTAGCCTCTGTGCTTTTGAAGCAGTATGTAGAAGTACATTGGTGCATACATTCTGAGAAGTTTAGAGCACCAGAGACTCCTACCACGGTATGTTGTTTTGTTACTTTTTAGCTCGACTATTCAATAAGAATAAGTAGAGCTATTGTAGTACCCCGAGCGTCGGCGTAACCACTTATGTTAAAGTTTTTGTAATAGTTCAAATATTTTCAAAGTCCATTGACATATGGCTTTGAAACTTTGCACACTTGTTCACCATCATGACCCCAACCTGTAGACAAGAGGAGGTAACTCTATCAAGCATTTTGACAGAATTATGCCCCTTTTTATCCCCCGCCGAAAATTGGTGGAGGATATAGAAATAGTCTCCGTCCGTCCGACCTTCCGTCCTTCCTTCCGTCTGTCCTTCCTTCCGTCCGACATTTTTGTCCGGAGCATATCTCTAAAAGTATTTGAGTTATCAACTTGAAACTTCATAGGTGGATAGACCTCATTGAGGAGGAGTGCAGTGCACAAGAATGATAACTCTACCTTGCATGATTTTTGAGTTATTGCCCTTTGTTATTTTTCAAAATTGATTTTTGTCCAGAGCATAACTCCAAAAGCCTATGAGATATTAACATGAAACTTCATAGGTGCATAGATCTCACTCAGGAGGTGTGCAGTGCACATGAATGATAACTCTACCTTTCATAATTTTTGAGTTATTGCCCTTTGTTATTTTTTATACCTAATTTTTCACCTGAGTGGAGCATAACTCAAAAAGTGTTTGAGATATCAACATGAAATGTCATAGGTGGATAGATCTTATTGAGGAGGAATGTTGTGCGCAAGAATGATAACTCTTCCCTATACAATTTTTGAGTTATTGCCCTTTGTTTTTTATGCTATTTTGTCCAGAGCTTATCTCAAAAAGTATTTGAGGTATCAACTTGAAACTTCATAGGTGGATGGATCTCATTGAGGAGGAGTGCAGTGCTTAAGAATGATAACTCTACCCTGCATTATTTTTGAGTTATTGCCCTTTGTTATTTTTCAAAATTATTTTTTGTCCAGAGCATACATGTAACTCAAAAAGCCTTTGAGATATCAAAATGAAACTTCATAGGTGCATAGATCTCACTCAGGAGGTGTGCAGTGCACAAGAATGATAACTCTACCTTTTATAATTTTTGAGTTATTGCCCTTTGTTATTTTTCATACTTAATTTTTCAATTCAATTTTTTTCTCAAAAAGTATTTGAGATATCAACTTGAAACATCATAGGTGGATAGATTTTACTGAGGAGGGATGCAGCACACAAGAATGATAACCTACCCTGCATTATTTTTCAGTTATTGCCCTTTGTTATTTTCATTCATCAGTATTCACATAGGTTTCAAATCTGTAATCACTATAGCCATCAGTTTTCATTACCAAAAGACCTCTTAAAATAGAATTATTCTGTTCTACTACATATACATTCTTCCAATGAGCAAACACATTCAGCGGGGGATGGCCATGTTGACATGGCTCTTGTTGGACTTAGAATTTACGTTAAAGTTTTGTAATAGTTCAAATATTTTCAAAGTCCATTGACATATGGCTTTGAAACTTTGCACACTTGTTCACCATCATGACCCCAACCTGTAAACAGGAGGAGGTAACTATATCAAGCATTTTTTTTTACTATCAAGACTAAGAATAGTCGAGCGTTGCTGCCCTACCGACAGCTCTTGTTAAAGGTCATTGTCAGTACTTACTTTTAAGGCCCCCACGGTTACACGAATCATTTCGATTTTCATTCGTAAACGTTTATTTTTTACCGTTTAATCGAAATGACCATATTGTCTCACAAAATATCTTAATCATTGCCTGTAATCATTAATTTCATCAATTCTAATTGGTTTATTCCAATTTAAGAAAAAACAACCAGAAAATGTGTGTTTACAACCCTTCAAACAGCATTACCTTACAATAATAACTCGTGACATAATACATTATTGTAAAGTTTATTTTCCTTGATGCTGACTCAATCGTGATGGGAGAGGACATTCATAAGCTTTATAGCTTTCTGCCAAATCCCAAAATGTACTTTGTAAATATTGTTCACTTTTTAAATGTTTTGTTGAATAAATATGTTTAAACCAATTGTGATGAGCCACATTATTTATTTGCACAAGTATTAAAAAATAGAAAGTAAGTCATCATTTGGCCACTCAATACATGGTGTAGTATAGTACATAGAAGTACCACTGTTTAAACAGTTAACAATCGTGTCAACGTTTACAAAAAAATTGTAAACATGGGAGTCTTATTGCCTTTAGATACCACCAGCACAGAGTGCAGTGTGATCATAGTCTACATTATTGGCTATTCATTATACTACATATTTTTTAAGTTTTTACATAAAACTGATGAATGGTTGTGTTTAGATTGAAAAATGGACAAGTCCATTTAAGATATTTTGCTTGGTAAGGGTTAAAGAGCAAGAGTTCTTCTCTCATGTTATATGGGAAAAATTATTAAAATTAAATTACAATGAAAATTATTACTTAAATTACTAATATTAGGAAGTATAGACTTGGTGTTGATTAAGATTTTTGGGAATTATGCATGATCTTAAAGATTATTTCAATTGGGAATCTTGAGGCCTTTTATAGGCATCTGTTATACACTGTAAAAAGTCCTGCACAATCATGCATTGAAATAAAATAGTGATTTTTTTTATTGTTTTTCTTATTTGATTGTATATCTCATTACCAAAATTTTAAATGATAAATGTATATTCCTTCTGTAATATAGTCAAAAGAGCAGATCAGAAAGATTTTACCTGTTGGCTTAAAAGAGGCAATAAGTAAAGTCCGTTCTAGTGTTGCATATGCGGTGTCAGCGATTGCCCACTGGGATTGGCCGGAAGCATGGCCCGACCTGTTCCAAATCCTCATGCAAGCTCTTACAAGTGGAGATACAAATGCTGTACATGGAGCTATGCGTGTTTTAGCAGGTATGTAAATGTACTTTTATGTTGCATTTTACTTTGTGTTCTCTGTTATAATGTACATAAGAAAATTCCATTTATATTTAATGTAATATATTTATTGTTCTGTTCTCTGATTTAGTTTTATGAATTTTGCGAAATTTTCTGTTGTTTACAATAGTAACTTCATGTAGTCATGACTGAGGCAGGCCAAAACCACCAGGATCAGATCAGGCCAGTCTGTATAAGTCTGACGAGATTGACTATAATACTTCTTGGTCACTATTAAGAGTTTTAGAAATTTATTTAAAATCTGTTTTATGTAACAATTAGTATATTTAGTTTAAGACATTTCCATAGGAATAGTTTTAACAAGGGTAATGTGGTACATATTTTATATTTTTCAGAATTTACTCAAGATGTGACAGATACACAAATGGTTCATGTGGCACCAGTGATACTGCCAGAAATGTACAAAATATTCCTACAGCATGAGGTAATTTATTATCCAAAAATAATTGGATATGTATGTAATGTATATGTTGTCTGTGCAGTAAATGTCAGACTTTGAAAACCAGCTTTGATTGATTCCTAGAAGCAGACTTGAGAGTGGTAAAGATAAGTTTCAATCTTTCATCATAAGTTAAAACCGAATCTTAAAAGGTATGCACATTCAATTTGAAAGCTATCAAGGCAGTGTGTATCAAATCACTTGCTTATTATTAGCACAGGTTTTAAAACTAGTCGTTTAATATTTGACAGGTTTTCAGCATCAGAACAAGGTCAAGAGCTGTCAATATTTTCAACATATGTGCTGGTATGATTGCTACAATGTCAGAATTACAAAAGGTAAGATATTTATACTACATTTATATACATGTATATCTTTATCAGCCAAGCATCAGCGTCTTCTTTGGGCACAATATGATAAGTTTTATGCCCAGACTTTGGGTTTGGGGTGTTACGGGCATGTTGATATGTTTACATGCTGTCAGACTGAAGTGTGAAATAACGGGAATGTAGGGGCATGTATGTGCTATGGACACATTCCTAGTACACTCAACTTTTGGATTACACTATATTATGATATTGCTTTAATCGTATGAATAACATATAAAAATGATGTGAAGCTAACTTATGGAATGCCGCTTGTTTAATTCCAGTACCTGCTGGAAAGTCACTGTATGACCTTCACACTGTCGATGTGGCTCAAAATCGTAACAAAACAACCATAAATGCATCTTACACCTAATTGGTTTACTGCAATTACATAAGAATTGAATAACCCCAAGTAGAGAGCAAGATTTTAGTTTTGATCAGCATGTTTTAGATTTTTAGAGTTATAAAAATAACCTTTGTACATGTGTTACATGTTTAGGGTTTAGCCAAGCAGTTGTTGTTCCCTGTGATACCACAGTTTACACAAGCATTTGTGGAGGCACTGCTTGTACCAGATGGACCTTCCTCTGATAGTGGACTGAAGATGGAAATTATGAAGGTAAGATTAAAACTAAATTTCTTGATAAACTGAAAAATTTAGCAAGATCTTTGCTTCTGTATTGGTGCCTGTTTGTTTCTGAAATAATGCTCAGAGGGGTTAGGGGTAAAACTGGAAAAAAATCACTGGTTATCTAGTTGGTTGCCAATGAAAAAGAGATTTAATATGATTTTAAATGAATAAATGTCCTTAAAAGTGATTGCATGACATCAGTTTGTGTATTACCTTTTGTTCAATCCTGCAGTTTCTAATGATTTATATGGAGAAGTTGGCAATTACTTGCTGAAAATTGGTTTGATTTAGATACAGAATCCAGGAATGCGTGGTATATAATGGATATACTGCTTAATGCCTAGGTCACAAACTAAAATGGGCACCGTCCGATTAAACGATTTTTATAAAATCGGCAGATTTTTTGATGTCGTGGACGCCGGGCGATTTTAAATCTGATACCTTGCGTGGTCACGAATGAAACAATCGTCGGGCAATTTTTGCCGAGTGGATTTTACAGAAAGAATTGAACGGATCAGGCGGTTGCCGCCCAATGTCCGTACGGCGCCTGTGCAATTTAAAAGTGAATCGGATGGTTGCCGCGCGAGCGCCGGGCGACAACGACTTTACATTTAATGACATCCTAGATAAATCAGCCAGTTGTAATTATGCCAGCAAAGAAGTCGGCTGCCAAAGCCAAGGGGAAGGCCAAGGAGTTGGTCCGTGTTGTTGACAACGAGTCACCAACGGCCAGTATCGAGGCCGTAGAAGGCGAAAATTAATCAGACATTCGCATGGACATGGAAGAAAAAATTCATATTTACTAGTATTCAAAAGAAATTCACAAATATATTTTTGCGGCAATTACAACTTCTTCAGGCTGAAATTACAACAAACACAAGCAGCTCGGTCGCCGGATGACAAAACGATGACCGCCCGGTGCCTGTACATGAATCGTCCGGGTACCGGGCGATAATCGTTTGACTACTTAGCTCTATTCAGGCACCGGGCGGGGCCCAGCCAATGTCCGCCCGGACGCCTTTTAAATCGGACGCTGTTTTAGTAGAACAAAAAATCGCCCGATCAAAAAAATCATCGCCCGGTCGCTGCTCGGCGACCATATGATGTCTGCTCGATGATCTTTATACTCAGTGACCCCAAAAATTATCGTCCGGCCGCCGTTAGCTTTTAAGTATTACTTAAAACTCGAAGGCGCCCGCCAGATGAGCAAAATTTTCAGCTGCTGCCGTCCGATAGTCACTGCGGCCGGACGGACGCCGGCCAATATTGCGATTTTTTGGAGAAACAGACGCCGCCCGGCGGCATTTTCTTATTTGTGACCTAGGCTTAATGCAACTTATCCAAGAAACAAACAAATAGAAATAAAGAAAAGACTATTATGATAAGTATTAATAGCAGATTAATGCTGCACCAATTTTCTACACTTGTAATGTCAACAATGCATAAGTAATTGAACATTCTGACCTTGTTTCTTGTGAATATAGTTGGTTTTTATGTATCAACAGGCTATCACTACATTAGTGAAAAGTTTCCCAAAACTGATGTCACAGTGGATTGGACAGATTTTACAACCTGTCTGGAGTATATTCACATTGAGTTCTGATTTGTATCCTTTTTCACCATATTCTGGAAGATGTTGTTAATATAACTGTACTGTGAATAGAGTTGGTGCAGTTGCAGCTTATAAACAAATTTGATGTAATTTTACTTTGTACATTTTGTCCCGTCAGTTGGCTTAGCTTAATAGGTAAGACTTTGATTTGCAATACAGGAGTGGCTGATTGGATGAGGAATAGTTTTGAAAAATTGGTAATTACTGGTTAATTATGCAGGAAAGCCAGTTAGGTGGAGTGACTGTCAAGATATGACAAAAATGTATTTACAAACTTTGTACATTTACAAAATGCAGAAAGGAAATGTGCTGCCTTTCGTGGCAGCGGAAATAACTTACTTATAATTATGTGAATTGATTGGAGAGATAAAAAAAACATATTTTGAATGTAGTTGGGAGAACTTTTTCTTACTCAAAAAAGTATGAAAATATTTTTGTCAATGTTTGTGATATTATTTGACTGCTGTATACAATTATCAGTATTTGCTGTAATACTTTTATCACAAATATATCAATTTGTAATGAAATGATGCAAATGCATCAAAAGAAAATCTTAAAAAGTTTTAGATTTAGACTTTTGATCTTATGGGTGTTAGCATAAACATAAGCCAAAAATCCATGCCCAGATGTTGTCTGAGGTTGTATTTTATTTAATTGAGGCATGTGTGTTCTTGATGATACGTAATCTTCTAAAAGCTGTTGACTTGTATTTCCTTGTAATTTTGTAGTATTTAATTAGCAAGAACCCCTTAACTAGTTTTCAAGTTATGTTCGGACAGTTGTGAACAATACAGAAGATGCAGATGATCCTGTAGATTCTGATGGTATGTTGTTTTATCTAAAAGTTTTTCTGGAAATTAAATTTTACTGACTGTATTATTCTCTACAGACGTGTTGCTCATGTCGGAAAAAGGAAACACATTCATGGACACATTTGAATGGGATTTATTTATCACTCCTTACCATTAAAGCTAGAATAATATTTTAGAGTAAATGTTTATGGAAAGATTGTTTTAAAGATTATTTTTTTTTAGAAATTTAGAGATAGTTGAATATTCAAAACATTATTAAAACAAGATAAAAAACGCTGCAAGTACTTAAATTTGTAGCATTGCCACATATGGATGATTTTAATTTTTGTTCAAATTTATAAATGTTTGTTGGTTATGTAAAAGTCTATAAGTAGGTAATTACTGGTTAGTTATCCAGACTAGCTGGTAAGGTTCACCGACTGCCGAGATATGACCAAAAATGTGCTTTAATCGGCTTTACAACCAACCAAACAAATCTAACTTGATAATCTGGACTCTTATCTATATGTAGACAATAGATCAATATTAAAAGGAATGAAGGAAAAAATCCAGAGTAATAAATTTTTTGATTCATTTAAGATTATAAAATTTTATTTCTTATTTATTTGTAGAAGACTTTAAAGGTATTTTTATTATGTTTGCTTTGCAAAAATTAAAGTGTTGAATTTCTATTTATTGGCATTATCTTTTAATTTTAATTTTTTATTATTTTCTGAGTTTCGCCACCAATTTTGTGCAATGAACTTGACCTGTTTGGAACAGTCATTTATGAATGTTAGGGATATGAAGATATTTTGTTACAGCTATCATTTTAAAATGAACAAATATTTATTAGATTTAGATTTATTATCTATTGTTAAATATTTTAGATTAATCATTTGGTATTTCATTAGATGATTAAAAGCTGCCTTCAGCTTTTATTTTCTGTTGGGAAAACAATTCTATGTTGTTTCAAACTAAGTATAACAGTAGTTTTATCTTGGAAAAGTGCCTCATATCACTTCTTCAAAACAGCGTCCCGAGAGCTATATATAGAGGATAATAGGTTAGGGTCTTTTGAGAAAGGGTTTCTCAGACGAGGTTAGATAGCATAGTCGATAGCCGAGTCTTAAGAAATCCCTTTCTCAAAAGACAGTAACCTGTACTTCTTTTTATCATGCCTCTATTATGATTTTGCATCTTATTTTTTTAATTCGGGGCGCTAATTTCTGAAAGTACAGTAACCACAAGATGGTTATACGCCACAAAAGAAGTCCAAAGGTTTTTACCAATAATTTTATAACACATCACAATTTTTGTTACAATTTGCTTTAACAATTTATTTACTGTGTATTATCATAAATATTCAGCAAAGTCAATTAAACAATACCAACAATAAACATCATCAATGCTGATCTGGCGTAGGAATATAGTGTTCTCAAGTCACTGACTGAGAAAGGTTGATGTTCTCAGACAGGCTTTATCAGGCAGTTGTCATAGTAATGGCATGATAAATAGTGACGTTTGGTCTAAAAATAAAATAACTTGTCACTTTTGTCCAGTCTGACTGTGGACACTTATGCAGGTGAAATTCTTTTAGCTGTAGCCTTCATACATTTGTTTTTATTACAAACAAATTTTTCTTGTTATAGATTGTCAGTGTATTAATATTTCCTCCAGCTTGAAATGTCTAAAATAAAATAATGAAGAAACATAATTATACAGTGTGAGATATAGTATAGATTAGTAGTTATATTGATTAAAGTTTGCATATCGTTACAGGTGGTGTCCTCGGCTTTGAGAATCTCGTGTATGGAGTGTTTGAGTTTATACATGCACTCCTGGACAGCTCCAAATTTCGTGATCTTGTGAAAAAATCAATCAATGATATTCTCTACTATGTGATAACATATATGCAAATCACAGAAGATCAGGTACTCGTTCATTTACGGGTGTTTTTTGTTTTCCTCATATAAGGACAAAATTAGCTTCTTTGTATTCCATTTTAGTCTGATTTTTGAAACGTGTACAGATTAATGCAAAACAACTTATACAGTGATTTTTTGGGGCCAAATTTGGGCCCTATTATTCCACTTAAAAGTATATATGAGCCGCATCAAGACAAAACCAACATAATAGGTTTGTGACCAGCATGGATTCAGACCAGCCTGCGCAGGTGCGCAGTCTGATCAGGATCCATGCTGTTCGCTGTCAGTTTCTCCACTAGGCTGGTCTGGATCCATGCTGGTCGCAAACCAATTTTGTAGGTTTTGTCATCATATTTTTTCCCATTTATTGAACAATTTTCCCCTTACAAAAATGTAGAGCATTCTTCTCTGTGTAATGTATTCTATAATAGTATATATCTGCTATGTATAAAGTTCTTAATATTATTTTCATATCTTACAGGGGCGTCTATGGATGACAAATCCAGATCAGTTTGTAGAAGATGAAGATGATGACACTTTCTCCTACTCTGTTAGAATCTCAGCACAAGATTTACTCATGGTAAGACTTTCTCATACTCTGTTAGAATCTCAGCACAAGATTTACTAATGGTAAGACTTTCTCTTTCTCTGTTAGAATCTCAGCATAAGATTTACTCGTGGTAAGACTTTCTCCTACTCTGTTAGAATCTCAGCACAAGATTTACTCATGGTAAGACTTTCTCCTACTCTGTTAGAATCTCAGCACAAGATTTACCCATGGTAAGACTTTCTCCTACTCTGTTGGAATCTCAGCACAAGATTTACTCATGGTAAGACTTTCTCCTACTCTGTTGGAATCTCAGCACAAGATTTACTCATGGTAAGACTTTCTCCTACTCTGTTGGAATCTCAGCACAAGATTTACTCATGGTAAGACTTTCTCCTACTCTGTTGGAATCTCAGCACAAGATTTACTCATGGTAAGTCAATACATGTTTGATCAAATGCTTGATTTTAATGGAAACAAAGCCTAGTTAGTAGTGAAAGGTTCGACTTCCTCCATGCATTATTTCAGGCACCCAAGCAAAAAAAAAAAATAAACAAGAAATGAAGTTGAAATTGTTTATCACATTTACAATGCATTCAAGGCTAAATTATGGTTTTACTTTAGAAAATTTAAATAAAGACAATTGATGAGTGAGAATCAATGAAACTTTGAATATTAAGACTTATTAGTGTCATTGTCAAATCGAGATTACTCAAAAGTGTAGGAGATAATATTTTAGTGTTGACACGGTGTAGAAATAATGTGAGAAACAGAATATTTATTACAAACTCATCAGTGTGTTACTGATCATGAAATGTTGATATTGCATTTACTGTTGTGAAATGTTTCAATATATGATCACATAGTGACAAACATTATGTGGGATGTACTTTTAGTTGATAGGTCAGGAGTTTGAAGATGAGAGTGCACTGGGTTTGTGTCAAGCTATCACCAAACATTTACAAGAAGCTGAGGCCCAGAAATCTGTAACTGATAATTGGTAAGACTTTTTGATTATAAACAGTTTTCTAATCACATGACATCCTCTGCAGAGCAATCTATTGTAGGAGACAAATATTTTTTATTTTTTTTAAGGGAATTATTTCTCCATGGAAATTGAATTTATTGTAAAGTTGTAGTTTTGGAAGATTTGAAACTATTGTTGTGAAGAGGTTGTTGTTCTACAGAAGGTCATTTTGTGCAGGGTTTCCACTGTATTTACATAAAATGCTTCGATAGTTAAGTAGACAACAATATATCTAAATTGATTATGTGAAAGTTGGTTGCTACTTGTGTGTGGAAAATTTGTTCATGCTGGTACAAGTCCAGGGACACTTTGTAGGTAATTAATTGCCTGTCTGTATTTAAGTAGAATACTACTGAACTGGACTTATAAATAAAAGATGACCAAAACAAACATTTGTCTTATTAACTGCAAAGTAAATCACCTGACTTGAAATAGCAAGTCACTTCACAGATGTCTGTTCACACCTGAAATAATGGAAAGTTTGGAAGGTGTTTAGGGTATATTTGATATTATCCAATCACTGTCATCTGTAATAGCTAGAAGGGTCAACATAGTAAAAAAAGAAAGCCTGGGATAGTAGCATTTTGTTAAACACGACAGTATTGTCAAAATCTTGTTAGTCCCCTACCGGTTTACCTGAGGGGACTTTAGGTTTACCCTCCGTCCGTCTGTCCATCTGTCCGAGCCAACATTTGATTATTATGAGCTTCATTCCGTAGTTAAATAAAGAACATAAACTCATAATATTTAAAATTTAGAGTTTTTTTTGTTTTTATGAGCTTATTTTGCTTATGGACGTTGGTCCAGGTGGTGTTTATGAGCTCATTTGCCTCATAAACATCAAATTTTGGTACGTCCGTCCGTCAGTCCGTCCGTCCACAAAACTGGATCCCTCGATAACGCAAAAAGTACTGAAAATATTTTAATGAAACTTGATATATGGATAGATGGCAGTATGGAGATTATGCACGTCTTTTTCTTTTCTTCCTATGTTGAAAATTCTGGTTGCTATGGCAACAAATAGACTGAAAATATGGCAAATTTTACACATAAACTGGATCCAGTGATAACGCAAAAAGTACAGGAAATATTTTTATGAAACTTATAATATTGGGAAGATGGCAGTCTGGAGATTATGCACGTCTTTTTCTTTTCTTCCTATGTTGAAAATTCATGTTGCTATGGCAACACATAGACTGAAAATATGGCAAATTTTACACATAACTGAATCCAGTGATAACTTCAAAAAGTACTGGAAATATTTTTATGAAACTTGACATATGGGTAGATGGCAGTCTGGAAGATTATGCATGTCTTCTTTTCTTCCTATTTTTGAAAAAAATTGGTTGCCATGGCAACAAATAGGCTTAAAACATGGCAAATATAACAAAAATGTTATATTTTTGGTAACAGGGGTGTTTTCAAATATTAACTTTAGAGTGTCCTTCAGTCCGCCTGTTCATAAAAACTGTTTCCTGTGATCACTTTTAAAGAACTTTCCAACAAATTTACTTAAAATAGAGAAAAAATTGAAACATTAAGTGAATTGGCAAATGGCCCTTCAGAATGTTTGATGGACGGTTCTTACGGTAGGGAACTTATGAATTGCTTGCAATACTATGATAATTGCTTGTTTTTACTATAACTTCTTCAATCATGAATAGGATTTTAAAATGTTATATTTTGATAACAGGGATGTTTAAAAAAACTTTAGAGTGTCCTTCAGTCCGTCTGTCTGTACATAAAAACTGTTTCCTGTGATCACTTTTAAAGAACTTTTTCAACAAATTTACTTAAAATAGGAACCTAAGTGAATGGCCAATGGCCCTTCAGAATGTTGCTTGGGCTCTTACCGGTAGGGGACTTATGGATTGCTTGCAAAACGTCTTTTTCTTTTCTTCCTATGTTGAAAATTCTGGTTGCTATGGCAACAAATAGACTGAAAATATGGCAAATTTTACACATAAACTGGATCCAATGATAACGCAAAAAGTACAGGAAATATTTTTATGAAACTTATAATATTGGTAGATGGCAGTCTGGAGATTATGCACGTCTTTTTCTTTTCTTCCTATGTTGAAAATTCATGTTGCTATGGCAACACATAGACTGAAAATATGGCAAATTTTACACATAAACTGAATCCAGTGATAACTCAAAAAGTACTGGAAATATTTTTTATGAAACTTGACATATGGGTAGATGGCAGTCTGGAGATTATGCATGTCTTCTTTTCTTCCTATTTTGAAAAAAATTGGTTGCCATGGCAACAAATAGGCTTAAAACATGGCAAATATAACAAAAATGTTATATTTTGGTAACAGGGGTGTTTCAAATATTAACTTTAGAGTGTCCTTCAGTCCGCCTGTTCATAAAAACTGTTTCCTGTGATCACTTTTAAAGAACTTTTCCAACAAATTTACTTAAAATAGAAAAAAATTGAAACATTAGTGAATGGCAAATGGCCCTTCAGAATGTTGATGGGGTTCTTACCGGTAGGGAACTTATGAATTGCTTGCAATACTATGATAATTGCTTGTTTTTACTATAACTTCTTCAATCATGATAGGATTTTAAAAATGTTATATTTTGATAACAGGGATGTTTAAAAAATAACTTTAGAGTGTCCTTCAGTCCGTCTGTCTGTACATAAAAACTGTTTCCTGTGATCACTTTTAAAGAACTTTTTCAACAAATTTACTTAAAATAGGAACCTAAGTGAATGGCCAATGGCCCTTCAGAATGTTGCTTGGGCTCTTACCGGTAGGGGACTTATGGATTGCTTGCAATACTATGATAATTGCTTGTATTTCATTATGATTTTCTGGGTTATTTCAGGTGGAAGATTCACGAGTCCTGTATGTTTGCTCTAGGAACTGTACGAAGCCTTGTGATAGACACAGTAAAGTCGGGGAGAGTGCAATTTGATATTTCAGCCTTCTTAGAAAATGTTGTTCTAACAGATTTAAATTTATCAGGTATGGGACTGAATAATACAAGTTATATTTCATTCCATTAAAATTTTAAAGGCATGCTGTTGTGAAGTCCTTCTGATTACTAGTAACTTTGTCTTGCTCAAGTTGCTAAATTAGTCCGCCTGCTTAGCTCAATAGGGAGGGAATTGGATATATAATCCAGGGGTCACTAGCTAATTTTGGGCGAGGCTTAATTTTAGTTGCTAAATTATTCCACATGCTTGGCTGAATAGGGGGAGAATCAAATTTATAATCCAGGGGTCACTGGTTTGATCCTCTGGCAAGGCAAAGTTTCTCTATAACAATTGATCTCAGACATTTAGTTTAATGGTCATTCGTCTCTCACTGCTGATTCAGAAATGATGTGGGATAAGTAGTCAGTCACTAAAATAGAAATTGGTAGTTACTTAATTAACAGGGTTGACAAATCCACTTGTCCGCTCATAAATACGAGTAAAAATTGATTCCAGACGAGTAAATCTCTCAGAAATACTCGTCTAGCAGAAAATAATCAAATTTCAATTCAATTCAACTTTTTATTCTTTTGAAACCATTTTTCAAGTTTCACTAGTAAAACAGAGCACGAAATAATTCCCCTGTGTTTGTCGGTGGACAAAACGGATGTTGAATTGTTGAATGCAACGCTAGGTTCTGTCTGATTCTGTTTTGTTAAATCATACTAAAAGCTCGCTGCAGGGATTCCGGGATGTTCCACAAACAACGATCTTTACATAAATAATAAAAAAATTTGTCTGTAACTCTGTTCCATTATAGATACAGTAGAACTTCGGTAAGTCGAAGTTGGAGGGACTTGCGTAAAAACTTCGACACATCGGGACTTCGACTCATGAATCGTTCTGAATTCCATGCCAAAATTTCAATCTGTGACTAGCCCTAATTATAAGATATATAACGTAACCTATTTCATGTTTTCTTTCATTTACTAATTTGATATTTATGCCCCCGCCATGTAATGGCCGGGGCATATAGTGTTACCCTGTTCCGTCCTTCCGTCATTCCGTCCTTCCGTCATTCCGTCATTCTGTCATTCCGTCATCATCAGTTTCCGTTCATTATCTTAGTAACGGTTGCACACATTCAACTCAAATTTGACATATGGATATGTCGTGAGAAAATACAGGTCAAGTTCGAATTTGGTCATGGTTCGATGATTTTTGGCAGAGTTATGCCCCTTTTACTTTGAAAATAATATGAAATTTTCAGTTTCCGGTCATTATCTCCCCAATGGTACAACACTTTTAACTCAAACTTGACATATGGATACGTCACAGGAATGCGCAGGTCAAGTTCAAAGTTGGTTATGGTTCAATGATTTTTGGCAGAGTTATGCCCCTTTCACTTTGAAAATAATATGAAATTTTCAGTTTCTGTTTATTATCTCCCCAATGGTACAACACATTCAACTCAAATTTGACATATGGATATATTTTTGGAATGCCCAGGCCAAGTTGGAATTTGGTCATGGTTCAATGATTTTTGGCAGAGTTATGCCCCTTTCACTTTGGAAATAATATGAAATTTTCAGTTTCCGGTCATTATCTCCCCAATGGTCAACACTTTTAACTCAACTTGACATATGGATACGTCACAGGAATGCGCAGGTCAAGTTCAAAGTTGGTTATGGTTCAATGATTTTTGGCAGAGTTATGCCCCTTTCACTTTGAAAATAATATGAAATTTTCAGTTTCTGTTTATTATCTCCCCAATGGTACAACACATTCAACTCAAATTTGACATATGGATATATTTTTGAAATGTCCAGGCCAAGTTGGAATTTGGTCATGGTTCAATGATTTTTGGCAGAGTAATGCCCTTTCACTTTGAAAATAATATGAAATTTACAGTTTTCTGTTATTATCTACCCAACTACTCAAATTTGACATATGGATATGTCAAAGGAATGGGCAGGTCAAGTTGGAAATTGGTCATGGTTCGATGACTTTTTGGCAGAGTTATGTCCTTTCACTTTGAAAATAATATAGATACATCTTAGGAATAAGCAGTTTAAGTTTGAATTTGGTCGTGGTTCAATGATTTGGACAAACTTATCTTTCTTGAATGTTGTAAAATTTTGAACTTTCAGTTTTCAGCACCGAAATGTAATGTAGCCATTATTTTGGCTACAAATATGAAATATGCTATTTTCAAAAGGTTAAGACTGAATAATTTCAGTGCCTTGAACATTGTATGAAAATGGTTTGTGTTAACATTGAAAAGTTTTAAGGGCTTTGAACTAAAATGAAAAAAATTATTTGTGCAAACAAATTTGGAACTAAATATTATAACATCTGAAATTTTGGCTGCATGCGGGGGCATCCGTGGCATGATGACACATTTCTAGTTTACTTTATGCAATGATAAATATGACATGTTAATTACTTTTTCACGGCTAATAATTTGAACTACCTGTTGACGTATACAATGAAGTTACAAAAGGCGTAACAATTCGAAAGGGAAATAACTTAACCAGCTTATAGTAAATATTTTAGCGTGTGATTAACACGCGACACCGGGTCACGAAGTATGTTTGTTCTTACTGTTTACATGCACTTTCAAATACCGCTACGGCAATTAAATTAGTAACGATTAAAGCATTTTTTCACACATTTAAACGCATTCAAAGGTTGTTTGAACACTTGGCTGTGTAATTAACACGTGTCACTTAAGTTGATCGGAAATCGTCTTCGCGGCAAGAAAAGGTGTGAAAAATGTCTCGAGATCGAAGGTGTCAAAATAATCGAAGGACTTCGACTTATTTGTGGTAAATTGTTCTAGATTTATTCTATACGGACCATGAAAAAACTTCGACACATCGAAAAATTCGACACACAAAATCTCGACTCATAAAAAGTTTTTTATATGGAATATATAAGAGAAAAAATCGGGACTTTCATTTTACTTCGACACATCGAGAAAATCGACTAATCGAAGTTCGACTCATAGAAGTTCTACTGTATACAGGAAATCTGGTTAGGTGGACTGACTGGTTAGATATGACCCAAAATACATTAAAATCACCAGATAAAAAAAAACTGCCGTAATAATGTCTTTCTCAAGTGTATAAATTTTGGTCCTCTTGAAATTGTGTTACTTAAATATCAGAATTTTTTACCTCTAAAAATAAAGCAAGTTTGTCTTACTTAAAAATAAAAAATGTAAACCACTAGAAATGGTTTTATTATTAAGTAATGAAACGTTAATCTTTTTCAGTATCACCATTCCTGATAGGAAGGTGTCTATGGACAGCTAGTAGATACTGTGAGGGTATGAATACAGAACTTCTTCAAAGGTAGGTCACACAGTGCATTGAAAGTGGAGCAGAGAGGAAATAAAAGTTACTGTCAATAAAGGTGTAGAAGTTTTTGGAACTTGTGGACAAAAGATTTAGCTATGAAATAAAGATAACTTAAACACTTTTGGAATTAGTTAAAAAAAAAATTCTTGTGTATCAGACTGGATCTTACAGTATCTACGCGAGTGCTGGAAAATTGAAAACTGTCATTTTACACCTAAATGTAATTCTGCTTTATTAGTCCCCTACCGGTTTACTGGAGGGGACTTTAGGTTTACCCTCCATCCGTCAGTCCGTCCGTTTGTCCGTCCGTCAGTCCGTCTGTCCACAAAACTGGATCCCGCGATAACGCAAAAAGTACTGAAGATATTTTAATGAAACTTGATATATGGATAGATGGCAGTATGGAGATTATGCACGTCTTTTTCTTTTCTTCCTATGTTGAAAATTCTGGTTGCTATGGCAACAAATAGACTGAAAATATGGCAAATTTTACACATAACCTGGATCCCGCGATAACGCAAAAAGTACTGAAAATATTTTTATGAAACTTGATATATGGATAGATGGCAGTATGGAGATTATGCACGTTTTTCTTTTCTTCCTATGTTGAAAATACTGGTTGCTATGGCAACAAATAGACTGAAAATAGGCAAATTTTACACATAACCTGGATCCAGTGATAACACAAAAAGTACTGAAAATATGTTTATGAAACTTGACATATGGGTAGATGACAGTATGGAAATTATGCACATCCTTTTTTATCTTCCTATGTTGAAAATTCTGGTTGCTATGGCAACAAATAGACTGAATTTCAAGATTTCTGATTCTAGTTTTTAAGTTTTTTCACTATAAGTTCTTTATTTCTTAAGGTATTTTCTTCAAACTTTAAATATAAGTTGCTTGTCATCAACCACATCATATGTGACAAGGTTTACAACTCTAGCACAAAATTTATCAGAATTACCTCCCTTGAACTTAAAATTTTCATGAAAAAAACCTTGTTTTTTTTAATAACTTCTTTTTCTGAATGTATCTACTTCAAACTTCATATAAATGTTTCTTATTGTCACTCAACATTTTTGAGTGTTCAATACTCTAGCAAGACTATTTCCAGAATTATGCCCCTTTTGAACTTTGACTTTTTTTAGCTCACCTGACCACAAAGTGGTCATGGTGAGGTATAGTGATGGGGCTATGTCCGGCGTCCGTCGTCGTGCGTCGTGCGTTGTGCGTCGTTCGTCGTCAACAATTGGGTTGTTAACAGTCTAGCAGTCACAGTTTTGATTGGATCATCATCAAACTTTGTCAGAATGTTTGTCTCAATGAAATACAAATCGAGTTCGAAGATGGGTTATCTCGGGTCAAAAACTAGGTCACAGGAGCTAAAAATAGAAAAAGCTTGTTAACACTCTAGAGGCTGCAGTTTTCATACAAATATTCTGGAAATTTGTCAGGAAGGTTGTTTTAATGATATCTAGGTCAAGTTCGAAGATGGGTCATCTCCGGTCAAAAACTAGGTCACGAGCTAAAAATAGAAAAAGCTTGTTAACACTCTAACAATTGGGTTGTTAACAGTCTAGCAGTCACAGTTTTGATTGGATCATCATCAAACTTTGTCAGAATGTTTGTCTCAATGAAATACAGATCGAGTTGGAAGATGGGTTATCTCGGGTCAAAAACTAGGTCACAGGAGCTAAAAATAGAAAAAGCTTGTTAACACTCTAGAGGCTGCAGTTTTCATACAAATATTCTGGAAGTTTGTCAGGAAGGTTGCTTTGATGATATCTAGGTCAAGTTCGAAGATGGGTCATCTCCGGTCAAAAACTAGGTCACGAGCTAAAAATAGAAAAAGCTTGTTAACACTCTAATAATTGGGTTGTTAACAGTCTAGCAGTCACAGTTTTGATTGGATCATCATCAAACTTTGTCAGAATGTTTGTCTCAATGAAATACAGATCGAGTTCGAAGATGGGTTATCTCCGGGTCAAAAACTAGGTCACAGGAGCTAAAAATAGAAAAAGCTTGTTAACACTCTAGAGGCTGCAGTTTTCATACAAATATTCTGGAAATTTGTCAGGAAGGTTGTTTTAATGATATCTAGGTCAAGTTCGAAGATGGGTCATTTACGGTCAATAACTAGGTCACATGATGTAAAAAATAGAAAAATCTTGTTAACACTCTAGTTGCTGCCGTTTTGATCCAAATATCTTAAATATTGGTCAGGAATGTTGTTTTGATTATTTCTAGGTCAAGTTCGAATATGGGTTATCTCCAGTCAAAAACTAGGCCACAAGGCCTAGAAGTAGAAAAAAAGCTTGTTAACACTCTAGTGGCTGCAGTTTTGATCCAAATTTCCTGGAAATCGGTCAGGAAGGTTATTTTAATGATTTCTATGTCAAGATAAAATATGGGTCATTTCCGGTCAAAAACTAGGTCACAGGAGCTAAAAATAGAAAAAGCTTGTTAACACTCTATAGGCTGCAGTTTTCATCCAAATATTCTGGAAATTTGTCAGGAAGGTTGTTTAGATGATATCTAGGTCAAGTTTGAAGATGGATCATGTCTGGTCAAAAACTAGGTCACAGGAGCTAAAAATAGAAAAAGCTTGTTAACACTCTAGTGGCTGCAATTTTCATCCAAATATTTTGGAAATTTGTCAGGAAGGTTGTTTTGATTTTATCTAGGTCAAGTTTCGAAGATGGGTCATGTCTGGTCAAAAACTAGGTCACAGGAGCTAAAAATAGAAAAAGCTTGTTAACACTCTATAGGCTGCAGTTTTCATCCAAATATTCTGGAAATTTGTCAGGAAGGTTGTTTAGATGATATCTAGGTCAAGTTTAAAGATGGATCATGTCTGGTCAAAAACTAGGTCACAGGAGCTAAAAATAGAAAAAGCTTGTTAACACTCTAGTGGCTGCAGTTTTCATCCAAATATTCTGGAAATTTGTCAGGAAGGTTGCTTAGATAATATCTAGGTCAAGTTCGAAGATGGATCATCTCCGGTCAAAAACTAGGTCACAGGAGCTAAAAATAGAAAAAGTTTGTTAACACTCTAGTGGCTGCAGTTTTTTCATCCAAATATTCTTGAAATTTGTCAGGAAGGTTGTTTTGATGATATCTAGGTCAAGTTGGAAGATGGGTAATGTCCGGTCAAAAACTAGGTCACAGGAGCTAAAAATAGAAAAAGCTTGTTAACACTCTAGTGGCTGCAGTTCTCATCCAAATATTCTGGAAATTTGTCAGGAAGGTTGTTTTGATGATATCTAGGTCAAGTTTGAAGATGGGTCATGTCTGGTCAAAAACTAGGTCACAGGAGCTAAAAATAGAAAAAGCTTGTTAACACTCTAGTGGCTGCAGTTTTCATCCAAATATTTTGGAAATTTGTCAGGAAGGTTGTTTTGATGATTTCAGGTCAAGTTCGAAGATGGGTTATCACCGGTCAAAAACTAGGTCACAGGAGCTAAAAATAGAAAAAGCTTGTTAACACTCTAGTGGCTGCAGTTTTGATTAAAATATTCTGGAAATTTGTCAGGAAGGTTGTTTTAATGATTTCTAGGTCAAGTTCGAAGATGGGTCATGTCTGGTCAAAAACTAGGTCACAGGAGCTAAAAATAGAAAAAGCTTGTTAACACTCTAATGGTTGCAGTTTTCATCCAAACATTCTGGAAATTTGTCAGAAAAGTTTTGTTTTGATGATTTCTAGGTCAAGTTCGAAGATGGGTCATCTCAGGTCAAAAACTAGGTCACAGGAGCTAAAAATAGAAAAAGCTTGTTAACACTCTAATGGCTGCAGTTTTCATCTAAATGTTCTGGAAATTTGTCAAGAAGGTTGTTTTGATGATATCTAAGTCAAGTTCGAAGATGGGTCATCTCAGGTCAAAAACTAGGTCACAGGAGCTAAAAATAGAAAAGCTTGTTAACACATTAGGGGCTGCAGTTTTCATCCAAATATTCTTGAAATTTGTCAGGAAGGTTGTTTTGATGATGTCTAGGTCAAGTTCGAAGATGGGTTATCTCCGGTCAAAAACTAGGTCACAGGAGCTAAACATAGAAAAAGCTTGTTAACACTCTAGTGGCTGCAGTATTGATTCAAATATTCTGGAAATTTGTCAGGAAGGTTGTTTTGATGATTTCTAGGTCAAGTTCGAAGATGGGCCATCTCAGGTCAAAAACTAGGTCACAGGAGTTAAAAATAGAAAAAGCTTGTTTACACTCTAGTGGCTGCAGTTTTTATTCAAATATTCAGGAAATTTGTCAAGAATGTTGTTTTGATGTTTTCTGGGTCAAGTGCTTAGATTGGTCATGTCTGGTCAAAAACTAGGTCACAGGAGCTAAAAATAGAAAAATCTTTTTAACACTCTAGTGGCTGCAGTTTTGATCCAAATTTCCTGGAAATCGGTCAGGAAGGTTGTTTTGATGATTTCTAGGTCAAGTTTGAATATGGGTCGTGTCCAGTCAAAAATTAGGTCACATTGCCCAAATATGGAAAAATCTTTATAACACACTAGAGGTCACATGTTTGACTCAGTCGCATCAAACTTGGTCATGATGCTTGTTTAAGACATTGCTTGAATGCGGTTGTGTCAGGTGAGCGATCCAGGGCCATCATGGCCCTCTTGTTTGAGAAATTGGTAATTTTTACTCCAACTTCTTCAATCATGATAGGATTTTAAAAATGTTATATTTTGATAACAGGGATGTTTAAAAAATAACTTTAGAGTGTCCTTCAGTCCGTCTGTCTGTACATAAAAACTGTTTCCTGTGATCATTTTTAAAGAACTTTTTCAACAAATTTACTTAAAATAGGAACCTAAGTGAATGGCCAATGGCCCATCAGAATGTTGCTTGGGCTCTTACCGGTAGGGGACTTATGGATTGCTTGCAATACTATGATAATTGCTTGTTGAACATGTCATATGTTTACGGATGACATCGTTTCAATGATATCAGTGAAATTGTAAATTCTTTCATGAAAAATTTTTTGTTGTTTCTCTTTTAAAATTCTAACTTATTATTATATGAAAAATGCAAGAATAATATTCTAGCAATGGCTGTTTTCGTGGCATGTCTAGTTCTTATATTCATTGTCAGGTTCAGTTTAGATATCTGCAACAGCACTTTGCACCTTTCTGTTAAATACAGCTTTTTGCTGATTTGGTACTTCCTTTTAAAAATTAATACTGAAACCAAAATTCATTGATAACTTAATATGTATTTTCTTTTTTGTTTCAGATGTTTGCAGGCAACAGTTGGAGGAATTCACCCGACACAGCCTCCTGTGATCCGAATTTCTGCTATCAGGGCAGTATACGGTTACTGTGACTTCCTGAAAACCTCAGAAAATACTCAACTTCTAGTACCCTTCTTGCCAAACATCACAGAGGGACTTGTTAATGTCGCAACACAATTTTCCTCCGATGTTTTGTCATTGTGTTTAGAAACATTGTCAATAGTTCTATCTGTAAGTGAGATTATGTTGTGATATTTGTAAACTTTATTATCTTATAATCTATATTTAAATGTTTTACTTTGCTGAAATTTTGAAATTGACCTACCTTGCTTATGATATGAACTGTTCATTAATGAGGGATTTCACAATCTAAATAATGGCAAAATTTAAGCAACAATGAGTTGAGAGTTCTGTCAGACTAAATACAGGTATGAAGACTTAACTGACTTCAATGGTGATATAAGCAAGTCACTCCAGCTTCTAACAATAAGAGGCCCGGATTGACTTATCACATCATGTATATTTACCACCCTGACTGAATATTGCAAAATATAGAAGATATGGAATATGACACTGGTTCAGTATTACATTGTTTGGTATATTATATAATATCTTGCTAACCTTGATTGTGCCATCAGCTACCTGTGAAATAAGAGCAGACCATCTGATTGTTGTCTGTCCAATTCAGTCAGACCATAAACTGATTTTGAAATTATCCCCAAAAATAATGAATGGTTTCATCCAGATTGAAAGATGCTATATTTAGCATGGTAATGATTAAAAACATGCCTACATTTATTTTTGCAGAAAATACAGCATCTTTCAATATGCATTTTAACAGCACTCTTACCATATATTATTATAAGGTGTATTTATTCATGATACTTTTGATGATATATATGTATGAGAAATTTAACATTCTTTTGATCAGCCATTGTGTTCACAGGTAACAATTGATATTGAAATATTACAGGTCGATAAAGCATTCACTGCATCATGTGAGTCAAAAGTCACACCTCTGACAATAGCTGTGTTCTTAAAATATTCTAGTGGTAAGTTTTAAAAATATTCTTGTGATAAGTTCTTCTAGTATTCAAGAATAATCATGATAATGAAAAAGTATGATGGGTTATAAAATCGAGTGATATTTGAGAGATCCATTGCCATGTAGTGGTGGGTATTGGTGATAAAATCAAGGGATGTTTTAACGGCCCATTGCCGGGTAGTGCTTGGTATGCATTAAGATTAAAGATGATATGGGAAATATTGAAATTGCACTGAGAAGCCTTAGAAGAGAGAAAGGAAAATGCAGGATTATGACTGTGGTGTCAGAAGTTTACAATGTGCTGTTTGATAGTATTCTTTGCTTGAAACTTATTGTTTGCAGGAAAATTATCTCAAGACTTGTGAAAATGAGAAGTGTACTTACAAAAAATCTTGAATAGTGCTTGAATTTAATTCACATATTACTTGTTGAACTTTGAGAATGCTTTTGTTCAGATTAAAAGATTCCATGTAAGATATTCAGTGTGGTAAGAGTAAAGTTGATATTTTTCAGATCCTGTAGTAACCAGTATAGTTCAGGAGATCTTCAAGGAATTGGCATTAAATGACAGTTGTATGGGTCCGTTACAACATAGATTGTTACCTACCATTGTCAGTATACTACAGGCTAGTCCAGATAAAGTTGCCGTTGGTTTGCCATCTGTAAGTGTAAGACGTTTGTCTGTCTTTTGGCATTATTACTGTAGAAACTGACTGTTTATGAAAATCACAAAAGATCTGTAATACCAACTGTATTCTGAGATGTTACACTTTTAAAGGCAGTCAGCCTTCATCTTAAGTGTAAATATTTGGTTTAAACATATTTATTTAAGCTCAATTGCAAAACAAGTTCTTGCAACTTATATTGATCACTTTCAAGTCCACTTCCTGGAACCAACCATTACTGGCGTTTTTGAGGAAACATGGTCGTGACCCAGTTAGGGCTGGAACCCATGATCCCTGGCTTTAGAAGCAGACACCTTAACCACTAGGCCACCTGTCCTCTCTATAAATATTTCATAAGTTATTATTGTGTCGCCTCTACGGAGTAGTGGCGACATATAGGGATCACTTCTCTGTCCGTCTGTCTGTCTATCCGTCCGTCCGTCACAAAACTTGTCCGGACTACCCCTCATAAACTACTGGTGCAATTTCATCCAAACTTTACAGGAATGATCAGTATCAAGTCTAGTTGTGCATATTGTCAGCATTTTCCGGTTCAATGATTTTTGTCAGAGTTATGGCCCTTTAATAATTTTTAATTTTAAAGTTTGTTCGGACTACTTCTCTTATACCACTAATGCAATTTCAATGAAACTTTACAGGATTGATCTGTAACTCAAGTCCTTGCGCATATTGCAAGGGTTTTCCGGTTGAATGATTTTTGGCAGAGTTATGGCCATTTGATAAAAAGGTGTTTTTTTCTGTGTGTTGCCAGATACACAATAGCTTGTCCGGACTACTCCTCATAAACTACTGGTGCAATTTCATTCAAACTTTACAGGAATGATCAGTACCAAGTGTAGTTGTGCATATTGTCAGCATTTTCCAGTTCAATGATTTTTGTAAGAGTTATGGCCCTTTAATAATTTTTATTTTTAAAGTTTGTTCGGACTAGATCTCTTATACCACTTATGCAATTTCAATGAAACTTTACAGGATTGATCTGTAGCTCAAGTCCTTGCGCATATTGCACGGGTTTTCCGGTTGAATGATTTTTGGCTGAGTTATGGCCCTTTGATAAAAAGGTGTTTTTTTCTGTGTGTTGCCAGATACGCAAAAGCTTGTCCGGACTACTCCTCATAAGCTACTGGTGCAATTTTATCCAAACTTTACATGATTGATCAGTACCAAGTCTAGTTGTGCACTGTCCGTCTGTCTGTCCGTCTGTCACAAAATTTGTCCCAACATGAAATTGGCCATTATGAGGCGACACATGTGATTACTGATCGCTCTTGTGAGATTTTAGTAAGTTTGGTGATGATGTCTTTGATAAATCATTTCTAAATGCTAATTTTGCTTAAAATTAACCACCTTGTTTGACACTTTTTGAGCTAAATTGATATAATTAATCAGACCTGCTTTGAATTTGAAATTGTTCAATTTTAGGCGCAGGCGCTAGTCACATAATCAAATATTTTACATAATCGGCCTATATATGTATATTATAGTATATAGAACATAAACAAAGTTTGTTTCAAGCACCTGTCATTTTAAGTGTAAGATATATATATAAAATATTAGAAATGAGTTACAAACAGTATCAAGCTTATTTAGGCTGAGTGGATATGCAGGCTGGGCCTGGACATGTACTGGTGACAAAGGCAAGTTTTTGTCAGTTGGTTTAGCATTGTATAAATGATAAGATGCTTTTGTTAAACTGTCATCTAGGTGGCTCTAGATATGTTGGAGACTATTGTACGAAGTAGTAAAGTGCCAATATCTGATGAACTGATGAGTGCTTTCCCCGCGGCTGCTCACTGTACACTCAATACTGATGATAACTCTACAATGCAGGTAAAATAACTAAATTTGAATTGATGTTACATTAAAGGCACATTAAGCCATAGAAATTAATGACATTTTTTTCTGTTGAAAGGGTAAACATGTTTTAATAGTGTTGTAATAATAGATTTAAAACATGTAAGGCACGTCCGTGGCCGAGTGGTTAAGGTCGTTGACTTCAAACCACTTGCCCCTCACCGCTGTGGGTTCGAATCCTTGCAGGGACTTTGGATTCTTTCATGTGAGGAAGCTATCCAGCTAGCTTACGGAACGTCGGTGGTTCTACTCAGGTGCCCGTTCGTGCCTGAATGCACGGAAGGGCACTTGAGGTCTTCCTCCACCAGTAAAGCTGGAATGTCGCGATATGACCTTTACTGTCTCGATGTGACGTAAAACCCAAATATAAAAAAAAAAAAAACAAAAAAAAAACATGTAAGATGCTTATGAGCAGAAGAAAAATGCACTGAATGTAGATTAATTAGTATCAAAGGTATTATAATTTAAACAAAGTGGTATTTTTAATTCCATACGTAATACTTTATCACTTTAACTGTCCTAATTATCACTCTTACTGTATTACCAAAACACAAAAGTAGCAAAAGATGGATCCGATATCTTGCAACAAATAACTTTCTAAAAACAAGTCACTAAAATTGAAAGCTTTTAAAAAATGATGGCAGTATCATTTCCAAGGCCAAATGGACTTTAAAGTGTTAAATGTTTAGTTTGATTGAAATTAACCCAAAAAGCCTAAAATCATAATGTTTGAATTCTTTACATCAATCAGCAGGGGCAAATATGCAAAAGATTACTAAAAAGTCAACTGAAAAATAAAATGAAATTCGTGTTTTTGTTAGTCAAATTTGTGTTAAAAGCTCTGAAATGCTTTTTAGTTTCGGATTATATTTCACAATTGGAATAAATTTTCTGGGAAAAAAAAAGAGTTAGGGAATGATACATGAAAGATTTTTTTTCAGTCCCTTAATATCAGGAAGAAAAAAAAAACTCAGTGGAGTCTTTTGAAGTGAAATTGTTCAGAACCACTTCTTTTTCTAGTGAAATAAATCATTAGTTATAATGGTATTAAATGTTATATAAGGCATGTTTTATTCCAGAGTGGTGGAGAGTGTATACGAGCCTATGCGTCAGTGGCCTTGGATCAAGTTGCCCAGTGGCATGATGAACAGGGTATGTGACTGTGAATGTACTAATGAATACGCAATTACATTATTCAGAAAAGAATGTAAATTACCAGATTTTGCATAAAATTCTTTTGATTGAAAGTATTCAACAAAGATATGACAAAATTTTCGCCAAAAAAGTGATATTATTACCATCTATTTTCAGTTAAAAAAGTAGATCTTATATTAAATTGAACAACTATATAATCTAATGAAAATTTTCAAAGCATTGATTTTAGAATAATACTTCATTGGTCATATTTAATCAATCAGTGATTTTTCTAAAATTTGATTATTTCTCTTACCCTGCTTTTATTGATTTCAGGAAACTCTGGCTTAACATACATTATACAAGTAATTTCCAAGTTACTCGACCCCAAAACCTCGGAATATACAGCTTCTTTTGTTGGTCGCTTAGTTACGGTGGTGTTGATAAAAGTAGGTCACCAGCTCGGTGAGAAGATGGACTTGATCTTACGGGCAGTATTGAGCAAGATGCAGCAGACAGAGACCCTGAGTGTGATGCAGGTATGAGTTGTGATTACTTTATTCGTAACCTGCTGAATTTGTGACATAGACTAGCCCTGCTGTCAATTTGGAACATTTCATTTGAAGTGGAAGGGATTTCAATATCAAAATACAAAAGCTAGCAACATTATATAGCCTGGTGAGACTGCAAGGATGTGTAGGCTGGCATGAATGTTGGCTTGCAAGGGCTTGTTACTTTTTTAACCCCAGTCACACTAGAGGTTATGATTACTTGCGACCACCGGCAACTTGTAAAACTGACGATCATCAGCGATTGTCTGCGACCAAAACCCTTTTTGCACAGATAAATTTACTTCTGCGACTATCCTAAGACAAGTTATCATTGACAATTGCACGACAGGTCATAAGCAAACGTACAATGGTCTCAAGATTGTGTGGGAATACTTACGACAACCTGTGACCTGTCATGGGATCACCTACAAATTTGTCGTACGACTATCACATGATTACTAAAGACTACTCAAGATTATCAGTGACTAGTGGCAATTTGTAAAGACTGTTGTAAGATTGTCACACTTCCGAACGACTGCGACAGCCTAAGACCTTATAAGATCACTAGCGACCTGTTTGATCGCAAGAAAGTTTTTCGTGCAAGCTCAACAACCTCTCTACAACTGAAATTGGTCGTGGGACATAAATAAGATAACCTGCGACTGTCAAAGATCACAGATGACCGTCATAAGACGTTTTAAAGATTGTCTGCGACCAGAGGTCACTGGTGATCGTGAACTGGTCTTTACTGGTCGTAAGCTCTAATGTGACTGGGGCTTTAGTCTCGGCAGGTTAGGTTTTAAGTGTGTTGTTACAATTGATTTTTTAAGGATGCCTATTTGGACTGGCAATTTCTTCTGTTCTCTTTATCATTAGTATTAGTGGTAAAAAAAGTCTTGAAATGTATTCAAGTGTGACAATAAATACATTTTGACCATTTTGGCTGAGTGAATACTATAGCACACTTCAAATGTCATGTGCATAACCACTGGGCTTGAATCTTGCTTTGGACTATCTATCTTAGTGCCTGCTTCTGTCTGAAGTGGTCTTGGTACCTGTGAAACTGTCCTGTTTCCATGACTTACCGTGAAATAAAAAAAATTTCGCAATGTTAAAGTTTTGCAAAATCGACATTTCAGAATAATTAATTAGCAAGGTTAAAAATTTGTGAATTTCTACTTTCATTTGTATTGAATTAATGTGATACTTCTGTTCTTAGCAAACATTTTTTTTTTTTTTTTTTCAAAAATCTTCAACTGAACAATATTGTTGTAAAAACAAATTAAAACATTGTGTCGTTGTTTTTCAGAAGGAAGTTTTTGGACAATGAAATTGAAAATTGGATCTTTTTAGATATAGTTTTAAATAATTTTTAGTGTATTTTGTAATAAAGCCATATTTATTTCAATAGTGAACTGTGGTCAGATAGCAGAGATTATCAGGTATATTTCTTGTTGTTTTGCAGTCATTATTGGTGATATTTGCACGCTTGATGTATGACCAGATGGAAGCTGTGTTAGAATTTCTCACCAGCGTACCTGACCCTATGGGAAAACCAGCATTAGAATTTGTACTTAAAGAATGGTGTGCCAGACAGCACCTCTTCTATGGTGCATATGAAAGGAAAGTTATGTAAGTTGCAGTAATCATGATAACATTTAATTTAGGTATAGTTGTCATTGATAGAACAACATTGATGTATGAAAGTGAGATAATTTATATAATATACAAGATACAAGATATATTGATGTGTCAATTTGTTGCCTGATATTGATATATAGTTGATAAGATTTGGACTTAATAAATGACAGTGCTAAATTTAGGACTATTGTAAGATTGCATTTGTATGCGCTTCAGATTTAAAAAGAAAATGTGTCGCATTAGGATATTAAAATACTGTATGTGAATTGTATAGATGAATTTAAGGAGTATATTTATTTTATTTTGTATATTTAGAATGTAACTGTTGATTTACTAGGTAATATAATCTGAAAGATTGTTCAAATTTGTTCTTAAATGCTTATGGTTCTAAAATGAAGTCATCAGACGTAATAAAGATTGTTTTATTAATAAAGATTGTTTTATGGGTCTGTGTATAACTTTACCTCAAACCTGACATGAACATGAGTTATGGTTCATTTGTTTGCTTAGATATCACTTTTTACAGTAAAACAAAATGTCATGAAATAAAGCATGCATACAAAAAAATCAGTGTATAAGAGGATTTTATATAAATGTTGATCTTGTACATGTAGGGTTGTGGCATTAAGTAAGTTACTACAGCACACTATAACCAACAATGATGTTAGATTGAAGGATATAATGGTGGACGGTGATGAAGTTATTACCTCAACCAGTAATGGTCCTAGAACTAGGTCAAAATGTAAGTATTGTTTCATAAGACTTAGGTGCCTGCTTTTGTCTGAAATAATACAAGAAGGGCACCCGAGGTTTCCTTCTACCACTAAAGCTAGAGTGTCTTTGTGAATTTTAAACTGATGGTTTGCTTTGGAAACCAATTAAACATTGTAAAGCTTGTATATATAAGTCAAATTTTCTTTACAGTTATAATGGTGTTGAATTCACCATTGACATTGTTTATCATATTTGAATTGATTTTGACAAATATTTTTAACCATTTTAGCATTCAGATTTTTGTCTCAAGGCATACTTGATACCATGCTCACGGTCTATACTCACTCTGCATAAGAAGTCTAGTGGGTCTTTATTTACCATGAAAAAACTTTTTTTAAGTAAAAATAACAAAATGCATTGACACAATTAGAGATTGATGTGCATGTATTTTGATGCCTTTTTTCTCCTGTGCTGATGTATCTTCAATGGTTCTAAGTATTGCATAAAATACTCAATAGATTAATGCTTCTTTTTAAGGTTATAAATAGGATGTCCCTGGCCGAGTGGTTAAGGTCATTCAACCACCTGCCCCTCACCGCTGTAGGCATGAATCCCAACACGGACTTTGGATTCTTTCATGTGAGGAAGCTACCCAGTTAGCTTACAGAACATTGGTGATTCTACTCAGATGCCAGATCATGCCTGAAATAATGCATAGAAGGACACCTTAGGTCTTAATCTTGACTAAAATAAAGAAGAAAACAAGAGATTTTAATCTTGATTAATTTCAGCCCAAGTGCAATGGACAACAATACCAGTAGTTGTTAAGATATATAAACTGTTGATAAACGAGTTATCTAACCAGATAGAACAAAGTATGTCCACTCGGAAAGGAGAAGATCCTGAAGAAGAGGTAATGTACATTAAATTTATACTTCAGTAATCATTGTTTTTTGTCAAACTGACTGTTCATTTGTTTGCTTTGGCTGTGTGTTTGTGGTAAGGTAGAATTATTATAGAGAAGATATTTTATTTTTTGCCTTACGGATAGCTCAATAGTGGACTGTGAGTTGGATGACCTTGTTTCGATTCCCGAAATGTGCAGGCCACTTCCACTGTGACTTATCATGAAATCCTTTCTACGGACATTCACACTGTTACTCTATCTTGCATATATAGAAGTTATCGGTTCCTTGCAATAGTGAAGGCATCTAGTACTGGTAAACTTCTTGACAGCCTACCCAGGAACGCAGTTGCTGAACTGTGCTCTGGTAAATTCAATGTGGCTTACTGCTGTGATAGGGAGTGAAAACTTCCATCACCACATCATGGACAAATTGCTTGGTTGTGCATATTTGCAGACATGTCCATCTTTGAATCCGGAGAAAATCATTCATCATTTATTTTAATAGTAAACTGTGCAGACGTTGAGCAGATGACATGGGTGTGCAGGCTGATCATATTGTGCAGATAGGCTCATGATGAAATCAGATTCAAAATTTTGTTAATTTTGATCAATAATGAAATGTTAAACATGCACTGATAATATAACATTAAAGAATAAATAAAAAATCCATCATGGAAAGAACTTAACAATAGTGTTATGCTTGTTTTCCAGTTTATGTATATTATAATGTAGAATAATACATGCTTGTAAATTTGCTGAATAAAAAAACTATGTTTAAACTAAGATTCAAGATAATGTTACAGGATGAAGGTTGGGAAGATGATGACGACGATGATTGTGGTGATTTACAATTAAGTGGTCAGACATTGTCCAGTCTACTGGATGACTTTTCAAATGAATTTTCAACATTAATTGATGATGCAGAAGATGAGGAAGATGATCCTGATGCTCTCAGTGATCCAGTTAACCAGTTAGATTTACAGGTAAGTAGTGATCCAGTTAGATTTACAGGTATGTTGTTTTATCCAGTTAACCAGTTAGATTTACAGGTAAGTAGTGATTCAGTTAACCAGTTAGATTTACAGGTAAGTAATGATCCAGTTAACCAGTTAGATTTACAGGTACGTTGTTTGATCCAGTTAATTGGTAAATGAATATTTGTTTTTCTAAGTGATCCAATTAACCAAATAGATTTATGGGTAAGTTGTAATTCTCAGTGATCCAGTAAACCAAATAGAATCCCAGGTAGGTAGATGCTGATAGTTATCCAATTAACCAGATACCTGTACAAGTAGGTTGTCACTCTAAGTAAACCAGTTAACTAGATAAGTTAACATGTTAGTAGATGCTGATTGTGATCCAGTAAATCAGATGGATTTATAGGGAGGTTGTTATTCTAAGTTAACCAGATTAGTTATGAGCAGGATGTTTGATTATATTCAGATTATTTATGAGGTTGGTTGACTGTCAAAGTAACCAAAATTGGTTAAGACTTACTATGAGCCAGTAAGTTTATTTTTATAAATAATCTTTTTGAATTTTATGTGTAGATAGCTATAAGCTTGAATCCCAACCAGTACTTATCAATGAATGTAAAGATTCTTGCTGAAGAAAACAATGACAGGGGTTTGAACCCACACAGCCAACAATCTTAAAATTTCTTGTTCAAAACAATTACTACGAAGCCACTTTTGACTAGGTTCATTGAATTCACATGATTTTGCAAATAGTATTCATAGAGAGGGTTAATATATTTTAATTTTGATTCGTGAATGATATTGAAAAACTTGTCTAACTTATTTATTTTAATATTTCAGGCATATTTGACAGAGTTTCTGCAATCCTTATCACAACAACCATATTACAGCATGTTCACCTCACACCATACGGATAGTGAAAAACAAGTATTACACAAAATAAGCATTGCAGTGTAACGGAGATGGTGGATTTTAACTAGAATTATAGAGCGTTTAATTTTAACCCAATAGTAATTTTTCATACGGCATGATCCATGACAATTCCTTTTAGAAATCTTAAGAATAGAAATAAAGTTCTTAGAAATTATGAACTACAAGTCAAAGGTGAAGAATTGACTGGCACCAAATTATTTCCATTACTTTGAGTTTGGATCAAGTCAAGAATATTGAATTTTGTCATCAGCACAGGCTAGTTTATAGACGGTTTGTTCTTTTACCCAGGTGCCTGTTTACCTGTATATGTCAGGACCAGTTGAAGGGTAATCTTGGGTAACAATGTACCAGAAAGTACTGGGACATAAAGTAAAACAGTGTTGGTGTGACATTTTAACTCTTATTGAAAAAAAGGGAAAAGTATGGAACTTAACCTTATTGAATCCGACCTTGACCTTGGTTATGAAATATATGTATTGCTATTTATGAAAAAGTGTGAACTTATTTGCTGATCAAATTTTTTGCTGCTTTTTGGAATTGCGTTTTGGCATTTTTTAATATATTTTTTTCATGAATATTCGCTTTGCAGGAAGTTACCTTGGTATACCCTTGTAAATGGGAGCTGCAGTCTCACAGTCTGCCTCCCAACTTAGGGATCAATAGTTCAAGCCCTGTTAGGGGTCACAACCAAAATTTCTCATATGACATTGCTACAGGTTAGTTCCAGGAAGTGGACTTGAGGGAATTATTATAATTTGCATGAACTTGTTGAACAATTGAGCTTAAATGAATGAATTATGTTTACTTGGGTATGATATCAATTCTATCTGCCCTATTAGACTTAGTTTATGATTATCTTTGTATTGAGTCAACAAAAAAAGTTGTACAATGAATTGAACAGTGCATGCATGCAAATTGTTTGTACGAGGGAAAAAAAGTACATGTATTCAAGAATATAATGAAAACAAATCATACTTAATTTGCAGCTACAAAAATGAATTATGAGTAAATTATTTATGTATGGACTAATATAGTGTATTTATTTCTAATTTTCTTGAGAAAACTATATATTTTATTCACAATCGTATACAGGTTGTAATGTGTAATAAACATGGAAAAGGGATTTGTGTATTCAATTATTGACCTGTTGGAGAGGTCATCGTATATAATTGTTCTGCTATTTAAGTATGGTAATAAAATTTATATAAAAAATTTAAGATGTCTAGATTTTGTTTTCTGTCAAAAAGAGACAAGATGCTTGAAATTGTATCCTAGAAAAGCAACATAACTATCTGTTAAATAGGGGTTCAACCCTGCGAATTGTTTGAAGTTGATCAACTTTGTGCAGTAGAAATTATATCAGAACTACATGTACAACTGTATTATTTGCAGGAGTGATGTTATATAACTTATTTTATCTACATGTAAAACAAGAAATTGTATCAATTAGAACCTCGGGAGCATTACATAATGCATGATTGGGTATATGACGTCTTCCTGTGACAGTTAAACTAGAATATTTGAATTAAGACCTACTGTATATATGCGGCCATATGTCAACCTCATCCAGAAGTTATATAAGGGGTATATTATTAAAACAAAAAAGTGGTATTTTCCATAAGTCAAAGGTGAATTCAGAATTTGATGGTCTTGTATAGAAATGTTTTTTAAGCTAGGTTATGAGGAAAGTAGATTGTTCTACTTGGGTGCACTCTCGTATTCAAGTTATGAACAGGTATTTGAAATTTGGTTGTTGACTATAGCAGTTGATGGTATTACTTTTGTACCAGCAAATATAAAACCCTAAGAAATGAGTCAAATCTGTTACTGGTTACTGTGACAAGATGGTTAAAATTTGTTCCTAGTACTATGATGATTAGTTTTGTATACTAATTATGATGCTCAGAACAAATTTTTTAACAATAACAATATGGTAATGACTTCTGAAAACAAAACTAGAAGGGTTTTTGTCACAAAAACATATGTCTCCCAAAACTGTATGGTCACTCATGTGAAGTTTTATTGAAATGCCACCAGTAGCTTGACCAGTGAAAGCTGGACAAGATTTTTCTATTTATAGCTCTGACAGCCATTTTGTATAGCAAAGCGGAACATGCCGTGATATGCACAACTAGGGATGTTACTGAACTTGCGTGAATTTTGATGGAAATCCTGCGAGCAGTTTGACCTATGATTGCCAGACAGGAATTTTAGCTCACCTGTCACAAAAGGACATAAGAGTGTAACTTGATTGTAAACATGAATGGCTCAAAATTTTGTCATTAAATTGAGACCTGTTCATGAGACGAAGTCCCGATGTGTCAAAGTTTTTATGCAAGTTCCTTCAACTTTGACTTACCGAAGTTCTACTGTAGTTGTAAAATCCGACTTCAAATAACGAAGTTATGAGCTGGACAAGATTTTGCTGCAATGTCATGTTGTAACCTTGACCTTCAAGTAGCGACGAAAATGTTAAATGTGGTCTCAATATGGTGATCATTTCTGTGAAATGGTTGTAAAATCCTACTTTAAATAACGAAGTTATGGGCCAGACAGGAATTTGGGACGTACAGACAGAATGACAGAACAGGGTTACACTATATGCCCCAGCCATTTTATGGCGGGGCATAAAAATAGAAAAATCTTGTTAACACTCTAGTGGTCACAGTTTTGATCCAAATATTCTGGAAAGTAGTCGGGAAGGTTGTTTTGATGTCTTCTAGATCAAGTTTTAATATGGGTCGTCTCGGGTCAAAAAACTAATTAACAGGAGCTAAAATTAGAAAAACTTTGTTAACACTCTAGTGGCTACTCTTTTTATCCAAATATCCTGGAAATTGGTCTGAAAGTTTGTTTTGATGTTTAAATACAGAGTTTTTGAAAGATGGATAAGAAAAATGCAAGCCCTGAATAATGTATTAGTATCCTGTTGTGTATAGCTTCAAGGGCCAAAACTTGCATTTACCTCAGCTATTAAAAATTACGACAGGGGGAGGGGGCTAGAAACTCTGTGAATTGCGATGTGACGCACAAGAACAAACAATCGCTTACAAGATATATATATTTTTATTTTATTTTTTCATAATTTAAATGACTGACTCATTAACAGCTAACAAATCATGACTGAAAAATTATACTATAATTATTTTACAATTAACAACTCTTATCTCCTTAAAGAGAAGTTTGAAGTTCATGACATATACAATGATGTTGATGTTTCAAAAAGAAAACTGTCAAAGAATTTCTTCTTTCCAACAAATGCACATGTATTTCACAAGAATAATTTACACCTTTAGTTGTAGAATTCATAAAACAGGGACTGAACTTAACAAAATGATTTAACTTAACAAACATGCTTAAATATTTGTTAACAAACGATGCATTTTATTACTTTTCTTTTCATGTGTCAAATAAACTGTACGTAAAATACACATCATCAAAGCTGCATGCCTACAGATGAGCAAAAATATTTCAAGAAAATCAAACTTGCAAATGTTCTAAGACCTTTGGCTATTAAAACAGATTGCTAATTAGGAATTTACTTTTTTTGTTCATTTCACAACATTTCATTCATTTTGAAATACATGTTCAAAATTTTTCATAAAAATAGAAGAATCTGGAGGCTTGCTGCTTTAATACCACGAGTTTTATTTGGGGGTTTCTATGAATATTAGATGTGCATGTAAGTTGCAATAACCATAAACATTTTAACACATCGAAAAACAAAAATGGATAAATATACTTTATGTTGTGACTGGACATGAAAATGTACAATAGTCAGTAATGGACTGAATAAAACAAAAATTTTATATTTCAATATAAAAAAGATGAAAAAGAAAAAAGTGTAATTTAATATAGAAATTCTAAAGAAGAAGAAAAAAGCATGGAGTTAAATCTATGTACAAATGTTTATGGACATTTCATTATGATAAGAGATTTATTTTTTTAATTTTAAAAGAAAGAAGAGCATTTATCGAGTTTTTGATAACTTCCACAGTATTTTTCATTACTGCTTAAACAATTCAAATTCTTCATTGAAAAAAAAAATGATTAAAAGAAAATCAAACATTTTTCCATCAACTACAATAATCCGAATAATCTCAATTTCATTACACAATTTTTAAGTCCACAAACTTGTAAACTTTACATTTTCACCGTTTTAACCCTTTCGCTGCCAGAGGGTTATTGTTTCATTGATCACATATTTGCCAGGGGGTTTTCTAAGAAATTACTATATTATTAATTTATATAATTATTACTATTTGTTATTAGTATTATAATAATTATATATCTTTCCAAATGTGTGAGTATAATAATAATTTTTCTTGCTGGTATAATTTTCTTTATATTTATTATTATTTTTATTATTATTATTAATTTATTATTATTACAATTATTATTACAGAAACGACTTAAGCCGACCATATGACAAATACGACGCAAACAACAGGGCATAAGCCGTCCCTAGGCTATGGCAGTGAAAGGGTTAAGGTTATGAAAATTATCTACGAAAAACAAACGAAACAAAATAACTAAAAATGATATTAGAAAAAAAGCATCAAGAAAAGCCCACTATTTGGAATAAATTATGACTAGTAGCAGATCATTGCGGAAAAAAATGAAATTTCGTCACCTTAGAGCACCAAATAAATCTAATAGGAGTAATCCTGTTACTACACTAAGGTGCCAATTTACAAACTGAAAAATACATAGACTGAAAATACACAGTGACAGTCGTCAATTTCCTTTAAGAACTAGCTATTTTAACTAGTGTTTGTTTAACTTGTAAATTTATTACACGTTTTGAAAGAAAACAAAATTAGACATTATATACCAATGACTTTATTGTATATATGGAATGTTGACAAGAGTTCATGTCAAATTCTAAATGTATACAAGTCAACATGTTAAATGTATACAAAATGTTAAATGTATACAAATGTATAACTTGTCAATAATAATATACCAAATGGAACCTTTTCATATTTATATTGATTACCAAGAAAAATGCTTCAAGTAAAATTTTCAATTTTTTTTCCAAGATATAGTTTTTGCCTCCTTTTCAAATACTAAAAACATAAAAGGGATTTCCTTATCTTTTTTAAGAAATGTTAATATGTATTCTACAACAACATGGTTGAAATATTTGTATATATCAACCATAAAGAAAGCCCTATTTATACATGGTATTAAAGTCATTTTCAGACATGTACATGTATATTTCTATCATAAAGTGAACACTATGTCATCACACAAAATATAAACTACAATCAATTTTATTTCTTTCTTTTTTTCAGTCACATATTACCAACATAAATATACAAGTATATTTACAATTTTTTCATATTTTTTTTTATGTTTTTTTTCTGTACATCACAAGACTCAAGTCATGTACACAAACTAATTTAGTAACCTGATTAAAGAATATCTTGAAGGCACAAAATAATATCACAAAATATTTACATTTTCATTTTTTTTCCCTTTATTATTTTTACTTAAATCTGAAGATAATTGATAAAAAAAAATTACATACTGTAAACTTCCTAATAAGTGTTTATTAAATGTTTTGTAAGCAAGGGGAATTTATAAGGAATTTTACAAAAACCTAATAAAACATTTATAAAAGAATGGACATTTTTTTTTCCTTCTAAACTTTAAAAATATTCTCATTTTCTAATTTTCCCAATTCTTTAAAAAAAATTGTAATAACAATGGCAAGAACCTGTTAGTGGGTGCTAATTGAGTTAAATACGCTACATAGGATTAAAGGTTGAGTAATAAGCACATACAAAAAATATCAGAAATAAATGCATAGCGTAAAAGAGGACTTGGACCCTATTTATCATTACCCATTTTATCCTTGAATAAAATATTTTCAAAATTATACATATATTTCTGAAAAAAATTAATATTGACAAATGAAAAAAAAAATTCAAACTCTCAAAGTTTCAACATTAAATTATTCAATGATTTAAATGAAAAATTTCAATTAACTTTAAAAAAAAATCACTAACTTCTTTGCTCATTTAAAATTACTTGTGACTGAAATCCGAGTATGTTCATAATGTATACTTAATAATTATGTTAAAATTTGTGTGTAATTATTAACAATGAATTGATTTGTGAAAATGTACAATTATAACTTGGATAAATATCATAAAGACAAAAACATTTATGTATAATACTGAATAAAGAGATGAGATTTCGTGCACATTAT